TATTATGATGATATTATTTGCAAGGAGTAGATTTGGTAACATTCATGAGGAGTTTGAAATGGTATTTCTCAAGGCAAGTTTATAGTAAATAATGTTCAAAAATTCTTTTTTTGTAATGCACTCAATAATAAATGTGTGATAGTTTTGCCACATCCACTTCTTGCAAGTAAAGTTATTGTTTGATTAGTTGATGTTTATGAAGTTTATAAAAAAAAAAATGCACATTATTGTTTTTCAAAAACAAAAGTTTAGTGTAAGAGTATGAATAAAATTGGTTTAATTGATATTTTGTCAAATTGAAAAACATTTGCTTTTTAAGTTATAATAACAAAAATTATTCAATTTCAATTAAATTCATTCAAATAATTTAATGGTGAAATGTTTCTATAATAGCAAAAATAGTTTTTTTTAAATTAAAAAAATCTTATCTTTATGATTAAAGTGAAGATTAATTTCATAAATATTTCAAAATTCTTATTTACTGGTAGGTAATTTAATTAACTTAGTGTTAATAAATAGTAATTTTAAGAAATATTTTTATAATGTAGCCAACAAAATTAGTAATAGACACAAATTAGAATATATGTTTTTTAAAAACTTTTTTCATTTTAACATCTAAAAAACTGAATTGTTCTTAATAATAATGTAGACTACATTATGTTCTACTTTGTCCGTAAAGCAAGTTATTGCATCTTAAAAGAACTACTGCTTAATTACTTTGCAGATGTAAATGGCAATAAAAGAAGTAGACCAAATGATATGCCCAACACTGCAGTTGCTGCAGCATTTCAGAGTAAGTATACTGGAATGCTTTAAATACTGTATATGCTGAGCAAAGAAACTTACTTAGTACTCTATTGGGATTTTCTTTGTACTTTGTTCCATAATTGATTTGAAAGCAAAGAAAATTTTAAAATTTATTTGCATTTCTAATATTAAAGGTGTGGAAGTTTTCATGTTTTGTTTTTTTCATTAAATAAAATTGTTTTAATTTTTGATTGAAAACTATTTTCAAGCAAAAGCTTTTAACTGTAAATAAATGATTATTTTACTATTTTCAATTAATAGCTGACATTTTTATTTTGCTGTAATTTATAATTGTACTAAATTCCTCCAAAGTAAAGTATATTTCAAAGTGATTATGTATAGTTTTTTGCTACATGTTTTCACGCTGATCTAAATTAATACATTTTTAAAAAATATCTGGCAGACATCAAAATTAGGAGTTTTTAAAATTACATGTTTTACTTCCATTTTTAATAAATCCAACAGAGAGAAGTAATTTCTTGCAAAGTCAGTTCTTAAATCTAATGAACTTTAATATACAAATGTTATTAGATAATTTATATCTGCATTAATATAAATTTTCATTATAGAGCAATATTTAACAATCAATAGGATGTTATTATATTTAACAATGAAATGAGAATAATTACTTCAAATAAGGAATTTTAAAAAGATTTAAATATGAAAATATATATAAATGCGTGTAAATCAGATGATCTGCTAATAGATATATAAATTGTTTTTTAAATTTACTTTAAAGATTTATTGAGATTAAATATAAATTAATTTTTATATATGTTGGTAAAGTTGGGAAAAAAAATTACACAATTTTAAGTTTAGTATATAATGGTTTTTTTAATTTAATCCTGTGCACTTAATTTCATATAATTTATACATCTACGAAAGATGTAATTTGTTTTAAAATTTATAACATTTAAAACAACTAGAAATAATTTTTTATAATGAAAATATTTTGTAATTTTGGATTCTTTTGATTTTGTTTAAATAATCCAGTACTATCAGATTCTTTATAACAGCGGTCCCCAACCTTTTTATCGCCGCGGACCAGTCAACGTTTGATATTTTACCATGGCCCACTGAGGGGGGCATTGATTGTTTATATTTTAGATTGATTTAATTTAATAATTTTAATTTAATTGTACTTAAACATGCCTTAAATAAAATATAGTTACACCAAAAAATGAATATAATGTGATTTAACATTTTAACTCACTAGAACGTTAAATCAATGAGAACCCTGAGCTTGTTTCTTTGCAACAAGATGGTTCCATCTGGGGGTAATAGGAGACAATGACACCCGAAGTGTGTTTCCTGTGTCCAGTTTGCTCCATTGTCCATTAAAAGTCGCACAAACCAGAGAGAAATACACCATAGTAAATAAAATGGAAATACCAGTAATTTAATGTTCCTTAGGCAGCCCGGTACCAGTCCAAGGCCCGGGGGTTGGGGACCACTGCTTTTATAGTACTGATTCTCAGTACTTAAAATAAACTTTAAAATAAGGATCACTGTACATGTATTGATTAATTTTTCTTTTAAAATGATTATTCGTGATGTCTATTCATATGAAATAGTATACATACATTCATTTCAGAATCACTTTTTACTGCAGTGTTTTTCTCAAATGTTTGTTTCTAACATATTTCTGCTAACTAAAACAACTGTTCTAAAAAACCAAAATATTAAAATTTTGATTAACGAATCAGCTTTAGTTCAACAAAATTAACTTACAATTAAATATTAAATAAATTACTTTTATAAACTTATTTAAATTTTTATAATAAAATCTTGAAGTTATTGATGGTATGAGGAAATATTTCTTAAGAATTAAGTAATTTAAATTTGTAATTCTAATTTGAAATCCTGGTTAATGGGTATTACTATTAATTTTATAATTTATTGTTACATTAGAAAACTGAATTTTAATAATAAATTTTTTAATTTTTAAATGAAAAAAGTAACATCAGAGTTCTGTTTGAACTTCTATGGATTAATTTTTCTTATATATTTCATATGTTTTATGAGCCATGAGGAGCAACCTTGGGGTCCTAATATATGGCTTATGGAGCTTTGTTTGTGTGTATGTATGTATATTATATATATATATACATACATACACACACACATTTTTGTCATCTTATTGCAAAATGTCTGGAGGCAGGGGGAAAATATATTAAAAAAATTTAAAAAAAAAATATATATATATATATAANTGTGGTGGCAAACAGAAATATTTTTTCGAACCACAGTCGTAATTGCCCAAGGATAATCATCCGTGCCTTTAATGATGGAGCAATAGGTGGGCAAAGAGGCGAGTATATTGTGAAGACAGTATGGCTCCTGTATGTGGATGATGTCAAAATTGTGCATCTCAGAAAACATGAGGGAAGAGGTTGCAATGCCTCTACCCAAATTAATCTGCAGTAAATGGATTTTGTAATTCTCAATCTCATCCATAGTCAGTAAGGGCAACTAGGTTTAGTTTTACTTTAAGATAAGTTGCACAGGAGCTGTCTTTAGCTCGGCCTTGCATGCTCTATCAAGTGACCAGTAGACACATTTTGGTGCCCTATCTTTATGAGGGCATTCTTTAAAGGAATGGCTTTCCGCGTATTGACTGCAGGTGATGGACTCCTGTTGGCAGCTTCTTGTATAGTGGTCGAAACGACAGCACCTGAAACACTGAAGTATTGAACAAAAGTCTGCCACCCGACAGCAAGACCAGTCAATGTTTATTTTGTTCAATGTTAAAAAATAGTTACGTAATTGAGGAGAGACTTCGACAACTAAGTTGCAATAAGGACTATCTTTTCTCCTGGTGGTGAATTTTACATGTGCCTCATCTAAAAATTATTCCTCAGAGAATGTCTTATTGAGGAGACTGTTTTGCAAATAGATGTTTTTCATTATGTTTTCGCGATTCTCCTCTTTCATGACAGAATAAATAATTATGTGAGGATTTTTTCTTGGGGAGTTTAGTCACGACAACAGGTAGTTTTTCTTTAATACAGTTCTGAAGAGGAGCAAGATCCTCCTTCTTCTCTATTTCTATAGCTACCCCTGCCACCGATTTTCCTAATATTTTCCACGCCAATTTTCTATCTGATGGCCAAATGTTCTGCTGCAATAGTTTGCGAATCCGGTCGCTGTCATTGTTTTCATTTTTGTTATAAACAAAGACATTTGTAGAACTTTTTGGCGTTCTAATTCTCGTAAACCGTTTTTCCGGACAGAAGAACGCTGCTGTAAGATGGGCGTTGGGGAACGATAGAGTGTTTATTGTAATCAAATTTATCAATTTTTTCAAAATGGCATTTTGTCTATCAATTATATCTTGATCGAAATCCCTTGCTAAAATTTGTTCGTTTGTTATTAATCCCTTCGATTGCTAAGCCATTCATTTTGGATAGCATGTCATTTTGCTTTTCAATTATCTCTTTGTTTTTGCTCACCAGTTAATATTTTTCCTATCTTTTCTGTAATATCCTCGAGACTCTAGAGAACAATATTTTTGTCATACAGGTCAATAATTCTCTTGACTATAAACAATAAATTTTGTGTGCTGTGTAGTACAGATTTTTGCGTTGCCATTATCCGCGAGACACGTTTTCAGTTCATCTAGTATGGCAAATGCGGCAAGTCTATGTTCAACCAGAGACATCCCTCTATCACAAGCCATGTTAGCAAATGAAAGGTGTCCTATTCACTAAACTAGGCAAAACAAATACAACATATACACTCACCAAGAAGTTGTCCCTTGTTCTGTTTCACCAGTTTGGTGCAAGTATCCATAAATGAGACATTAAGCACAGAAATTTTTGATGCAGTCAAGTACACACGAAGGAGCAGGAAAACTTAGGAATCCTGTAGAGGCAGATGTTAGAACGCTAAATAATGCCAGAGTTACACAAAAAAACCCAAGTTGTGAAGTACAGAAGGTCCAAAGATGCGAGCACACTGCAGGAGCAGAGGACAGCTGTCCCAAGCAAGCTTGTCTGTGAAAACAGTGACCAGACGGTCAAGACTGTTTATCCTTTCACTGTTTGCAATAAGTGCAAAGCAAGGCACCTGTTAGTACGGACAAACAATGAGAGAAGGTTGGGTCAATTCGTCTGGCAACGAGGACCCTCCAAACGTACCAAAAGTAGACAAAGGATGTCCAAACTTCCCTGCACTGGTCTGGAATTTATCACACACAACACAGACCTCAGGCACCCATATCCAAGAATAGATAAAAACTCTTCTCAGTACTCCAGATAGTTCTTCTCTCCTGTGTGGTCAGGGAATGCAATATGGCAGCCGACAAGAAACTGACACAAAACACTTCACTAATTTCCTACCGTTAGGCTTAGAGAAAATAAGCTTACTTTAACCCTAGCTTTCTATATTGATATACAGAAAACAGGCAGCTAAGCCTAAATTTAGGGTTAAGTGAATATAGAACCTAGAAATTTGCAGACTCGGACTTGTCTCTATTATCTCGCTACAAGCAGATGCTTTAACCATCGCAAGTCCATCTCGGGCCGAAGCAGAGGGCCCCTACCATGTTTCAGCAGCGCCCCTATCGAGTGCCACCACACCACAGGCCGATAAGTGCCTACACTTCCATCGGCAGGACTACCGACTTGCATCAGACAAGTCCAAATAACTACACTCCACTTATCTCGTCGGAAGACAAGACCTCCCTGGGAATCCAGTTAGTAACGGCTACAGCGATCATTTTCCGACTTAGGATTTACTGAGGGACCATCTTGACCCTCTTATTGCCAGGACCCAAGCGGATAATCTCCATGCCTTGACCACACCATTCTTCCTTCTGTTTTGATGTGAATCTGCATGCCACTATGCCAATTTGCAGCTCTGGTTGCCATCCGATCGAACAGGGATAGGTTGCAGTTTAGGGAGATGGTAGAAACACTGACGGGGCCGTGGATAGGGACACGACACACGGATAACAAGCTTCATTAAGGCCTGGTACCCAGACCCAAAACCCATGATATCTGACACTTCTGAAAATCTTGGGCACGAGTCTAAAGACTCCATCAACGGCCGAGACCAAGGCAGGACCTTCTGATCCTCTATGTCCATTGCCTCTCGCCGCTAGCTCCTCCCGCCACGTCCAGGCCGGTTCCCTTCCTGGGGTTATGCAAACCAGTCAAATGTGTTAATTTAGAATATTGAGAACAACTTAATAAAGTATTTTCTAAAACATAAAGTTTAAGAAAATACTTTATTAAGTTGTTATTAAGTTACAATACAACACAAGTTTGGCACTTGAGTGTGCCATCACGCCGTTACGTTTAATAATTCGATATTTGGAAATAAATGTTTAATTGTTTATGAGACTGTTAATTCTTAGCCTACATATTTTAGAAGACTGCTTCTGACTGTTAACTTTCGATTATCTGCTAGTGAAAGATATTAAGATTATCATCGCCATTTTACAAGAAGTAAAGACTTTAATTGCGTATTGTTATAAGTAATTTACTTTTGAATCAGCTTACTGACGAGGAATTGCAATGAAATAGCATAATTATGATATATCGCAAAAACAGCATTATTTGTAAAATTTAAGCTTTCTGAAATATGAGTAAAAATACACGATTAAGGAAGCTTTCATTGACTTGTACTTGTTTCATTGACATTACTTGTTGCTTAGTAACGATGCAGTGAGAATCTTTTTATAGTTAGTTATCAAAGAATTTTCTTTAACAAAGTCTCAAAGAACTCTGATATAAAAATATCTGTAAGCAATTGATGACATTTTTTGAAATTATACAGACATGCAAAATATAAAAATTTCATCGTAAATGTTAAAGTTTAATTAGAAAAAATATTTAAAATAGTTTGTTAAAGAATGTGCCAATTCAGTATCATTTAAGAACATTATAATTTGATTATATAAAAATAAAAGTAACGAAAATGAATTTTGTTCATATAATAAATTTAAACATATCGTATCAGAGCATAATTTGTAGATGCTACATTAATAAATTCTTGAATAAAATACTTATTCATCGTTCATAAATACAATTTCTTCGATACTTCCTGGATTTTTATTACAGATTCAATTACAAATTAAACTGTAGAATATCATCATACGGTAATTCAGTTTAAAATTTAAATTGCAAACACAGTCTGTTCTAAAATTGAAGATTCGTCTTCAGTGGTAAGTGAAAATCTCTTTACCAACGCTTGCTTCTAATGGATATAATTCTTTACAGTCTCCAAATGGTATATGGAAAGCAAAAGAAAACGTCTGTGGTGTTACTAATTTTAATTTTTAAAGTTTTGTTTTTAATTGGATATTTTTTCATTGTTTTTAAGGAAAACTTTTTAATTTTGACGGCCAAGTGATCTACAAAGAAAGGTTGGTGGTCAAAAATTGTATTCTGAAACAGTGAAAGTGAATAAATGATTCCTTTTTGAACAAACAGTGTCTTAAATTTTAATTTTAGATTTAATTTCATTTCAAAACTTATAGTTATGCTTTGTCTTTATCTAGTAAAAAACAATTTATTTCATAGTTCAAAACAATTTATCAAATAGACTATACTTAATTTAACAATTAAGATGGATTACTATATTAAACGTATATTCCTGAACAAAACTAATATTTAAATTATTACATTACATTGTTTACTATACTATACTATACTCTACTAACTTCATATACTATAGTTTCATATGTTTTCTTTACTTAATTTGTTTGTTTATCCTATTTATTTGTCCAAAGAAAATTTTAAAATTTATTTGTTAACTTTCCAAATCTTTGTAGACCTCGATATAGTTACAATGTTTATATAACCAAACTAATAGAAATAATTTTTTATAATGAAAATATTTTGTAATTTTGGATTCTTTTGATTTTGTTTAAATAATCCAGTACTATCAGATTCTTTATAACAGCGGTCCCCAACCTTTTTATCGCCGCGGACCAGTCAACGTTTGATATTTTACCGTGGCCCACTGAGGGGGGCATTGATTGTTTATATTTTAGATTGATTTAATTTAATAATTTTAATTTAATTGTACTTAAACATGCCTTAAATAAAATATAGTTACACCAAAAAATGAATATAATGTGATTTAACATTTTAACTCACTAGAACGTTAAATCAATGAGAACCCTGAGCTTGTTTCTTTGCAACAAGACGGTTCCATCTGGGGGTAATAGGAGACAATGACACCCGAAGTGTGTTTCCTGTGTCCAGTTTGCTCCATTGTCCATTAAAAGTCGCACAAACCAGAGAGAAATACACCATAGTAAATAAAATGGAAATACC